GGAAACGGCTAATTACATTTAATTTCTTCCAATTGTTGTAGCCAGAACAGATCGTGGTGCACTAATCAGTAGGTATAATTTTATAGATAACTACGAGCTAATCTAGCATGATATGAACATGATTTGTAATTTTCTATTACTCTAAAAATAAATAGTTTAAAGCTTCCCTTCGCTGTAACTCTAGTCACGAGTCACGACCTAAATTACAAATCTAACGTACAATGTTTAGAACATCCATTTATAGTTTATAGCGAGCAAAGATGTATTTGTGTGTGATTTATATTATACTCGTACTTGTTACAATAAACATTGTCTTTAAAGTTAAATGTTTTGAAAATATCCAGTATAGATATAATTGGATTGGTGTGATTTTTTGTGTGAAGATAGTTGGAGGGATATATGGATAGTGACATAAGCTACTTTTTACCGCTGGAGATTATCTCATTCCCATGAGAAAACACGATAAAATACAAATTATTTATGATCAGAATTACGTGAAACTTGATATTAATGCTCTTTAATACAATTAAATAAATACTTACTTATTTTAGCATTTTTCGAAATTCATCCCATAAGGGGGTAAAATAGGGGATGAAAGTTTGTATGAAACCTACCTTTATAGATTAGTTTTTTTTTGTAGTTTAAGCGCGAGCGAAGTCGCGGATTCTGCTAGTCTGTATTAATATTATAAATGTAGTTTGAGAGTATGTATGGATGTTCGTTACTCTTTCAAACCAGAACGGCTGAACGGATGTGGATGAAATTTGGCACAGAGATAGATTATAGTCAGGAATAACACATGGCTACTTTTTTACGTTTGGTTTTCTAGAGGCGAACCCGAGCGAAGTGAAGGTGAGCCGCTAGTAATAAATAAATGAAAATTTAACTGAACTATACCGGCAATTTATTTTTTGTATTTTTTCTTTTAGTCATATATATCACTCTTGTCAAATCAAGCTAGTAAAACAGAAAATAGATTTTATTATTAGAAACAAGAAACATCTTCCCGTACCGCATAGCAAATAGGTCACGAACCTCTAGTCCGGTTTTGGGAACCAAAGAGTTTGTCGGTAATATATATTTTAGTGGACGATTTTAATCTTAAACAATTTATCACTACCTCCCTATCTTTTTATAAGTGTTTATCAAAGAATCCGCTTCAGAGTGAACTGTTATAATTTATAGAACTAGTACCTAAGCACCACTGCAGGTAATATTTATTCTAATTACACGTCAACGTGCAAACAACATCCAAGGCATAATAATGATGTACTCCCCTTGGGTTTAGCATTGCTTTAAAACGGAGTAATGAAGTAGGTCGACGACGTATATAGAATATTATTTGTAGTCTTAAAAATTAATTAATTTATGAGCATATTGACGTAAAATTGCATTCTCTGTGGCCATTTTTATAACTAGTTCAGTGGAACCTGTTATACTTTATTGAAAGAAAGAAATATCGTAATAAACGGAACCTACTAATAATGACCGAGTCGGTTAATAATGCGTGCAAACTGCAAATTTACGTGCTATAAGCTATTCGCTATCTGCACTCGGGTACGCAACAGTCTATAACCAATGAAGCGTTCAATACACAATTTAACTACTAATAAATCGGCAATACAACTTCGTAGTTCTAATATTTGTTTGTGAAATTAGTAAAAAAAAAATTAAGTAAACATTCTTTCACTAGAAAATACCTATAATAAAATAGTGAATATATATTTGAAATAAAATAAATTTGACAAATATATATATTTTTATTTCATAGGAGTTCAAAGCATTCTTCGAAGTAAAAGAAAAAAAACAAATAAATATATAAAATAAGAAATACTTTTATTAATCCTCATTACATTTTGGTTAATTAAATATAAATTACAACGACATGATCTTCGTAATAAATCGTTATTCTGATATCGAGTTTCGTTCGCGAAGACATTTATTTAACAATGAAACAAAGCTACGTCACCCGTGAAACTGGGTAAAGGAGGGAGATAAGCCGAGGCTGCGCCCAAAAAGGCAAGACTAGCGTTCCCAATATGAGCATAATATGTTGAAGTCAAGGTGTACGACCTCCAGACCGCGCAAATAAATCGAGCGCACTCAGAACAGACACTAATAATTATTACAGTAAGCGAGAACCGATTGACAATAAATGATTCACAATACAGTTAGGTGTCAACGCACTTCACTCCTGCATAGAGCCACGCCGCGATCGCAAACAGCGTTCGTCACGAACTAAATGCTTCGACTGCACCCTGGAGGCGAACCCAGCGTCGGGCGTATCCCAAAATAGCACCCGGCAGTGCACCCCAATGACGAAATTCGAAATGGATGGAAAGATGGCTGCGAGCTTCTTTGTCTTAATTATCACTACACTTGAATTCAGTTTCACATTCATAGGAATAGTAATAAAAATACTGCAGCAACAATATTTGTTAAATAACAAAGCCAATGGACAATGATATTGTTTCAGAAAAGAAAACTTTTACTGCAACTAAACGATGTCTGAAGGTGAAAACCAGATTAGAAAGATTTCAATACACTACAGTGCTGCCAAATTTCAGGATAGCTTGTTCTGTCAAACAAAATTGGGTTTGAGCCAATGTTAGTCTAAACTGTGGCTACTTCGGAAACATATTGTAAATTAGGTACTACTAGCTGCACTTCGCTTGCAAACAAACTTGTAAACTTAAAGGCCACAAATCGATTAAAAAAACAAATATTTTTCTATTTATATATGCCTGTATACAATTTGATGGTCATAAATATTTCATAAAATATTTTTTTTAAATATATTCAAAATATATTATGAAACTACATAATACTTTCAGGTTTAGCTATGTAACAAAGAACAACAAAATTTCTTTTTTGTATGTTTAATGTTCAAAATTGTAGAAATATAATAAATGTTAAAATAACAATAATAAATGGTAAACTAATATTATAAATATGAAAGTTTAGATGGAAGTTTGTTACTCAATCTTGCCACAATGCCTGAACGGATCTGGATGAGATTTGGTACAGAGATGGATTATAGTCTGGAACAGCAAGCACATAGGCTACTTTTTATCCCGAAAAAATTAATGTTCCCATGGGATAGATATGTTTTAGTATTTCTAGAGGCAAACCCAAGTAAAGTGAGGGTGAGCTGTTAGTAATAAAATATATGTTTTTTTTATATTATACAGACTACTACAATATTATTGGACTAGTATTATAAATAAGAAAATTTATAAGTATGTGTCTATGTTTATTACTCCTTCAATCTGAAACGGCTCAATGAATTCAGAAGAAATTTAGACCCAGATAGACCCTGGAGTAACACAACGGCCACTGTTGGGCATCTGGGGATGCACACAAGTACAGCAAGTTGCTAGTTTTCACTGTCATGTTAAAAGTTATTTAGGATAAAACAGTTTATTATAATAAGTAATAAATCATTAATTTAGGTTTACCTTTAAACTAATATATAAAATCATCCCGGATAATTAATAATAATTAATGGATTATTAATATTGATGGATACGTCATGTTAAACTTTTGACGTTTATATGTAATATCAAACAATTATCATTAAAAATATATTTATAATTTAAAAAAAAATTACTTCTAGAAAATTCTGTCATTTATAAGAATTTTTGACCTACATAATTACAATTTTGTGTCAAATTCATTTAGTTAAATCTATTATTAATACTAGATCAAATTATCGACGCATTGGTCTATTAATTGACCTTATTATAATTTAATATGTATCTGGCACAATAAACATTCCAAATTAAAATATCAAATAATTTTTTCTGTATGTGTCAACTAAAAACCATAATTTTTTTATAGAAATATTGATTCATTATTTGTACGCTATATTGGTTATTTTATGCAAAATCTATTACAAAATACATTTGGTGTTTTCATACACCTGTTTTTTTTTTTAGTTCTTACGACAATTTAACCTATTCTAACAGATGGAATTTGTAGAAGTAATACTATCCACAATCTACATACGTTTTTTTATATTAAAATATTCTACGCATAAATACTATATTCAAAGAAGATAGTGAGACCAAAATAAAAATTATAAGAATATAGTTGTCAAAATTTGAGATAAAATATGTGTGTACTTACATCACCAGTCGGGAAATAATGGACGATATCATATTAAAATCACATATGAAAAACCCACGTAAAAATATTCTTTAATATAAACATGACAAAACACAACCGTTCTGCAAAAAGACTAATCCGCCATGTTGAATCGACCTATGTTTTGATCACGTGATTTCAATAATCAATATGACGTATCGTTCAGAAATTAGATTGAACTATAATGAACACAAATCAATATTTTTTCTTAATTAGTTATGTTAACAACAATATTATTACAACCTGTTATTTTGTGATTTTATGATGTATAAAAATTATTGATCATATTTATTTTAAATTTAAAATATAACGGTAAAGATTTATGTAATTAAAATATAATGTATTTGGTTAATACTTAATATAACTAAACAAACTTGAAACTACTAATATATTATTATATATTTTATTATTCAAAAAAATGAAATTTTTCAGCTGTAGCTCCATCTATAAGTACTTTTAAAATCATTAACTTACCTAACATATTGCGCCATCTTGTATCGAATAGATGAACTATTGTACAAAAAGTACTTTTGTATACGTATAAGTTACCTAAATTGAAAATCTATTTAATCAGTACTATTATTCTGTATAAACTGTCCAACGTAAACTTGCCGTATTGCAGTATATGCTGTTTGTTTCAGAAGTCATACGCCTAACTTGCAGGTGTATATTTTGATGATGTACTATTTAAATAAGTCGCGTTTACTTTCGTTTGATAGCCGTAGTTTGTAAGATTCAACCGTGAACGTAGTTTCTCTTCGCTCGACGTACAGTGAAGTGTGTTATGCGTTTGAGCGTTGTGTTTCATGACGTTTGTGTAGTTTTTACTGTGAATAATGTGAGTGTAGTTCGTTATGGCATTTAGATACCGTGAAGATTTGGTCGGCAAACGATTTCTCTCTGTGAGTGGTGTTTCTAAAATAAACGTGAATAAAGTTTCTGAATGGGGATGGAAAGCTGGTGTTATCAGAGCAGCTTCTCATAAAGATAACAAGAATAAGGAACTTCAGGTAAAGTTTTTTCATAAGAACCTATATTTGTATCAATAAGGATATGAGTTTAAGTCATAATTTACAGTCTTATTGCTTGTGAACGGTCATTTATAGACGCATTATTTTTAGATTTCAATTCGATGTAAGATGTGCTTACATCTAACAAGTGATTTATTTTCATTATTTTAGAGGCAAGTTAAATAAATAAACGCTAATGACACAACAAAGTTAAAATACATTGCAAGTTACGGCGTAGGTATTAATTTATTATACATATATGCACATTCACTTATTGAATAGGTACCTACCTATAGACTCAAATTTATGTACAAAACAAAATACATGATCATAAATACTATTTTAAAAATATATTTAAACTGAAAATCAAAAACAATTGTATCCCACGGGAGCCGTACATTTTTCCGGGATAAAAAGTACATTATGTGCTATTCCAGACCCTAATCTATCTCTGTACCAAATTTCATCCAGATCCGTTCAGCCGTTTTGGCGTGATTGAGTAACAAACATCCATCCAACTTTTCGTATTTATAATATTAAATAATAATGGCATGGGAAAAATATATTTGAACTACTATATATAACGTAAATGGCTATTATAATTACTCTTAAACAATGCGCCGTCATAGTTCATTATCTTAAAGTAGGGTCCATATTTGGGTTAAGGCACAGCGTAAATTGAAATCGACTACATACTAATTACGTACTTAACCAGTCAATATTCTAAGCGCTATATGAATGAAATTTTGATTATTTTACTAGAAATAAATTTCAATACTTACTAGTATATCTAAAACAGCATTTTATTTATCAATGGAGATTGTTATTTACTAGCGGCTCACCCTCGCTTCGCTGGGGTTCACCTCTAGAAAAACACTAATAGAGATCTATTAGTTCCCACGGGAACTGTTCGTTTTTCCGGGATGAAAAGTAACCTGTTGTTTGACCGGCAACATAAGGTTAAATTAAATTTTACTAAATTAGGTGCATAAGTTGTTGTGTACTAAGCAGTATAATTTACTATAGTTTTTTAACTATTCCACGGGAACTATTTAATTTTCCTGGATAAAAAGTATCTAAGATGTTGCATGGGGATATAAGTTACCACCATGCAAAATTTCATTTAAATCGGTCCAATAGCTTAGATTAGCCCGTACAAACAGACAAACAGACAGAGAAACGAAAAAATTGAAAAAAATATGGATTTGTTCTATTTGTCTTCTTACATCCTCCTGAATCGGTTTTTAGCATTTTTTTGCTATGTACAGACATGCGACCTCTACTGTTTTATTATAGTATATAGACTAGTGGCTTACCCTCGCTTCACTCGGGTCCGTCCCTACTCCCTAGGTACGTTTTAACGATTAGTATGGAATTAAAAGGTATATTATATTACTGCTCCGCCCCTTTTTATAGCCTATAAACCTACCTCAATAAACGGGCTATCTATTGCAAAAAGTATTTGAGATGAGATTTCCGCGTTAAATCAAACAAACAAACTCTGACTCTTTATAATATTGGTATAGATATAGATTGATAAACTTATATCGTTTTGTTTTAACACCTATTCAAGATTAAAAACAACAGCTCACCACATCCCAAAATCATCTTAATGCGAGCAAAAGTAATTAAACTTGTATCTATAATAGAATGTTCGACATTCTTAAGAAAATAAGCATAAAAGAACGATGAACAAACAAGTAAAATAACATATAAACGACATTCCTACCATTCTTAACTTTTATATTATATGCCACAAACAACAAATAATATGATTTTATAATATACTAGCATTGCCCGTGGCTCCGCCCGCGTTCAGATGACCAAAAATCAAATTCTTAGGTTTTATATATTAGTATACATACTCATAAATTGCAGTTTTTGTATTTTTTTTCAGAAATGAGACATTATCCCGCGGTAAAAAGTATCTTATATGTTGACCCGGATAATCAGCTATCACCATACCAAATTTCGTCAAATTCCCTCCAGTGGTTTTTCCGTGATGCGGAAACAGACAGACAGACAAAAATTCTAAAAACTATAGATTCGGCCTCTGTATCGATAATAATGTCTATTTCTATAAGATTTTCCAACAAATATTTAATGTACAGATTCGGCTCAGTTACAATTTTATTATAATCAAATCTATGTATATATATATATTTAGATAATGTACAGATACTAAATTACCTTCTAACTACTAGGCATTTATTATATAACTGACTTTACATTAAAAGCTCTTTAAATTAAGAGACGTCATTACGATATTATTACTATGTACCTCTTATAAAAGCAAGAAATGAATGAGGATGGAATTTTACTTAAAACAACAATACATAGCCAACATCAAATAGATGATAGAATTTAGTTTTATAGAAACAAATTATGTGCAATATTTACACGTCTTTTTATTATTAATCCTACTGATATTAAAAACGCGAAAGTTTGTAAGAATGTATGTATGGATGTATGTTTGTTACTCTTTCACGCAAAAACTACTGAATGGGTTTTGATGAAACTTTACAATAATATAGCTCATACATCAGAATAACATATGGACTACTTTTTATCCCGGAAAAATGTACGGTTCCCGTGGGATAGATTTTTGTTTTTCTAGAAACGAACCTGAGCGAAGCGAGGGTGAGCAGCTAGTAGGTATTAATCGCAAAGTTATAATAATAATCAACCGTTAAGGTTATGAACTTCAATGCCGTTAGTTAGTTTTTATTGTCATAAAATTGTTCCTGAGATCATTAAACATTCACTTATTACTCAAACGATGGTAGTTACCGTATATAAGCTTAGATAACGAAGGTGACCCTTACACTGATTACTGCTCGAATATATTTTAATAATTAAATTCTACTAATTAACTCATAACTAAGTGGTAGAGGAATTTCGATAACGCCAAACAAAGAAAGCTATTAAAATCTTATTAGTTCCATTTAAATGAAACGCCATTCAAAATTATATGTAGATTTAAAAATTTGATGATTTAATTCCCAATTTATTAATTGTTATCTTCACTTCCTTATACGTTGTGCAACTAGTTACGTCACGAATTGGCACAGGTGTCTTATATTTGTCTATTACGTATATTGGGATTAGGAATAATGCACAAACCCGAATGCACATGACTGGTGGTTCAACGACCCCACTCTCACCGCGTTCGATGCACCGTCTATACGCACCGCTTGAACCGAGACCTGCCGGACTCGATCAAAGTCCTAACAAAAAAAGAATGGATCCTGTGGCAGATAAAATATGATCGGGATAATATCAGTGCTCATTCGGAACATCAAACAAATTCGTATCTCGAAATCGTAAACAATAGAATGCAGCAGTTTTAGGCACATAAATGTATAGGTAAAGGTAGGAAAGCATTTGGTTTTCTTGGTATAGATTTGTGGTTTTTACGTATTATCAGACATTTTTGTTAATAATTAAATGAACATATCTATAAGTAGCTTATCTACTTCCATTTCCTTTATAATTAATGAAATTTTTATTATATCCGACAGCTACAAAAAGTGTTTATTTTTAACTAGCAACATGCTAAAATAAATAAATGGATAGCTTAACTCACTTATTTTTTAATCATGTATACATTGATTTAGCTATAGGGTAATATTAAGGAAGAAATCGATTTTCAATCGAATTTCCATTTCTCACAACACTAGCATATTCATAAATTATTTATATTATAATTTTAATCTTATAACATTATCAACTACTTCTGTACGTATTATGCATCCCTAATGCATACAAAATATAGTTTAGTTTGTGAATCTGCAGGTATGAAACGTTCAAAATAAAAAGATACAAAGTGCGCACGATGCGCTCGCCCGCTATGTTCTCCATTTATAAATAGACGACATCTTTCTACATTGCATCGCTCTCCCGCCGAGTGGGAAACGCCAGGCCAACACATAAACGTAACACTACTACAAGTACACGAATATTTGTTTAGATTACCTACTCTTTCTCGAATCAGAAACCAGTTATATATTGAATCTATAACTGGTTATTTGGTCTGCTCTACACAATATATTTGAGATCATTTAACGAGACCGTTCAGGTTGTGTAGCTTTAGAGAAAACAACAGAGCATTGCTCAAGAACAATAGTCCAAAGTACTGTATGCCATTTTCAGATTTGAGCTGCTCTTGTGAAGCTTATGCCGTTATTTAGTCCAAATAAAAAAGATCAATTAATAGGAACAGGTAAACATTTGCTAACCAATAAATCATAATAAAAAAAAGTGATTCTGACAATTTAATTAAATTTTCAAACAGTATAAAAACACTGTGTTATTATAAACCGCAATATCTGTATAACCTTGTAAATATATGTAAATATTAATAAGCAATACAATCATGATAGGATGTGGACTTGTTGACATCATTCGTTATCTTAGCAATCTCGGAGTTAGTGCACGTGCTGCAATTAATAAAGAACAAACCTTTATTAAAACACTTTGTTGTTAGCTTCCGCACTAAGTATATTTATAAAACAGTACCTGGGCGACCGAGGTTCCCCCCGACGTTATTCGGATAAGATACGAAAATTGTCGTTTTTCCGAAAAGACAAATAAAAAATTTGATCTAAATCCTTAAGAGTCGTTTTTCGAAATGTCAAATATAATATTTTTTATATTATATATTAGAATTGCTCATATAATATTACAATATTTGAAAGTTTCTAAAATTGGAATGGAAATATTTTATTATATATAAAACTCTCTCACACACACACAAATTTTCACTTTCATCCAGCCTGAACTCCGTCAAATTTTGGTAATTTACGTTTAAAATTTACTTAAAAAAATATGATGAGTTTTATATTTTTGGAGATTTGTAATTACAGTAAGCGGTATTAATCTTTTAATCTAATCGTTCCAACTTAAACTTAACTCGATAATTGTATCGAAAAATGAAGAAAATTCGTAGGTGTTAAAAAAGAGCTGCACAGATTTGGATGGGTATACAGATAGACTATGAC